CTAGTCTTCTAATATATAAACTGTATATTAATTTTTATTATAATGATTTTAAGATCTTTTATAATATTTATTATTCATTAGGCGAGTTTATATTCAAACTGAAAACTTAACTTTTAATAAAAAAAAATAAATCAAAAATAACTTTATGCTCAAGTTTGTTTCATTTAGCAATTTTTTCAAAGAATTCATTACTCTATTTGTCATAAAAATGAAAGTATTAAAAAATAGCAAAATTATGAATATACAAGGAATAAGAAGCATTATAATTACAAGTCTAAAAGATTTAACAGCTGATTTGCTACAAAGTAATGACTTAGTTAGGATAAAATAATATAATACTATAAGAGAATATTGTATTTATAATGTGATAAAAGATTTTTGAACTTATGATATTAATCTGCTATCAATTTTTTGTTATTATTATCTCATTAATGATCAATTTAAAAAGATTACTGCAATATTGATAATAATAAGATATAAGAAAATTGCTGCAAAATATGGATAGTAGATACAGTCACTAATACTTGATATCTTAAAAAAATACCTTCAATCATTATATTATATCTATTATGTTATAGCTAAAAAGTATTAAGATTTCTTAGGATTCCTATTAATGCATTTTCTAGAAAGAAAATTAACATTTATTTTAGTTTAGAAATTTAGGAAGCAGTCAATAGAAAAAGAGAAAATCCACTTTTAGTCAAAAATTTTTTTATTGGTTCTCTTTACTGATCATGATCATGTAAATAAAATTAGCTTAATAACTAAAATTACTTAAAATTTGTAAATTTTTCCTTTTCTATTAATCACCCCTTATTTGAATATCCTAGATATTAATAAAAATTACTAAATTGATTTTTTATATAAAAAGTTTTATGATATCTAATAGCTTACATTTAGCTATGATAATGCTGTTTATTTAATAGAATTTTGAAATTTCAAAATTTTAAAAATCTGAAATTGATAAGTTTTAAAGTCAAATAGGTATTTTTTATAATGACTTAGTTATAAGATTTTAGCTTTAGTGTTAGATATTAATAGAAAAAATAATATCAATGACATTTATGTATTTATTTATAAAATAAAATTATAAATACTTGTATAACTTATATTACTAAAAAAGAAATTAATAAAAATAATAAAAAAAAAATAAAAATATATATAGAAACATAAAAAAAAAGAAATAAATTATTATATAATAATAGAGATCATGAAAAATAAAAAATAGTTATTAAAAATAAAAGAAAAAAGAAAAAAATATCTAAAAATAAAAATTATATCATAATGATATCATCATAATAATATGGACGCTTTATAATAGAAAGAGTGGAAACTACCAAAAAATTTTTTTTTTATTTTCTAAGCTAAATATTATTTTTTTTAGTAAAATAAATTCAGATTTACTATTAACTCAAAAAATATTTTTCTTAGTAGTAGTTTTCTCTCTTTCTATTGCAAAATGCCCATATATAATGATAATATATAATAATAGTACATAATAGTTTTTAGGAATGAAAACAAGAATAAAAAATAAGAATAAGAATTAAAAATAAAAATAAAAATAAAAATTGAAATTGAAATAAGAATAAGAATAAGGATTGAGAATAAATATGAAATATCATAAAAAAATTTGAAAATAAATAGAAAATTAAAAATAGATATAACATAAATAATAAAATTAAGAATAGAAATAGAAATAAGAAATTAGAAATAAAAATAAAATAAAAAATAAAAATAATAAAAATAAAAATAAAAATAAAAAATAAAAATTAGAAATATTAATAAAGTAATAAAAATTAGAAAAAAAATTTATAGTATTGATTAAGATTAATTTACTATAAATAGGAATAAAATTTTATTTTGTAAAATTTAAAAGTTTGTGATGCAAACCATAACCATAATCATTCAAAAGAAATATCAGAACATTCAATTGCTTATTGATTTACAGAATCATAATAAGAAACCATTACTGTAATGACTATTGCTAGTTCACATCCTTGAGAAATTTTATCAACTCTTTATCAGAATAATATATCAATATTACTTATTAGTAGAGATATTCATAATATTCGTAAATAGCTTCATCAAAAAAGCTAGCAGATATACTTCTATTCAGGCTCTTATAGATGAACTTAAAGAAGGTGATTTTACTTATGAGTATGAATGTGATAATATGGGTTATGTAACTTATCTTTTCTTTATACATAATAAATCTGTTACTCTTATATGTTAGTATTTTTCTATATTAATTATGAATTATATTTACAAAGCAAACAAATTTAGAATGCCTTTACTAAATATTATAAGTATTACTAGCTTCAATATTACCTTTTATTCTTACTTTATTTTTATGAAGAGTGAAGAAATGATAGATTATCAATGTGTTCTCACTCATATTACTCATCTATTTGATGAAAGATTAAAACCTAGTATTATTATAACAAATTGAGAGTTAACTCTTATGAAAGCACTTGAGATGATTTTTTCAAATTTAGCAAATTTATTATGTTTGTAGTATATCAGCAAAAATATCTTAAAAAATTGTAAATCATAATTTCCAGAAGAAATAGAAAATAAGAAAAATGATAAATGACAATTATTTCTCACAAAGTGAAATAATGTAATACAATTAATATCAGAAGATGAATTTAATGAAAATGGTAATTATTTTATTTTACTTATACTAATAAATCTTATATTATTATATATCTTAAAGATACTTAAATTCTGTGAAAGAAAAAATTTGTGAATACATGAACAAATAAATTTTTTTATTTAAAGACTACTATAACTTTCTGTGTTGAAGATGCATATTTAACTCTTAAAACTAACTTGCAAGTATCAACAGGAGATCTCTATTGAGTTTAAACAGCAATTATTTTAATAATAATAAATTAAAAAAAAAAAGATTAATAGTATAGTTGCATCAGATTATATTTATCTTTTAATTTTTACACATAATAATCTATTATATACAAATATTAAAGGAAAAATTTAATATTTACTCTTAAAAAAATAAATGAACAATATTAAAAGACAGCTTATGTAATTATAGAAGAACCTTTACTATCATGTACTAAAACTTTTTCAAAAATAATGGATTTGTCATATGCTTATAGTATTTAATATTTAGATAATAATTAAGGTTTAATCCTTGATAATATTTATAAATATTGGTGGATCTAAAAATATTTTTCAGTGCCACAATACTTTGCAATCTTACTTGTAGAATTTGCAAGATAGATATCAAGAATGGCTAAAATTTGAGCAAGTAGTGGCATATATAATATTAGATGAAATGATTAATTCTCCATTGATAGTCTTATAAAATCCTAATATTATTCTTACAAAAGGATGTCCATCTAGTGTTATCAATAAATGATCAATTAATTTAACCAGAAGGGATTCTTTCAAATTTAAGTTAATAGATCAAAGAGTAAGAAAATATACTTTCTGTTATTAGCCTGAACATAATCCTTATTTTTATTAACTAAATAGAAATTAATATAATTAGACATTTACAGCTTTAATTCTTTAATATTCTGTCTTCTTAAAAAATAATGATGTATCCACTTATAAAAATATAAGCATTAAAATGTATTCAATTATAGAATAAAAATAAAATATTTGATTCTATTAATATAAATTTTTATAGGAACAATTCTAATTGTATTATTATTATTTGTCAGTTTTTCTAAATAGCACAATAAAATTTATTAAATCATAATATGATGATAAATTAACTAATTGCATGATAATTTTATTATAGAAGTAAGAATAACTATTGCCCATTATTATAGTAACAATTAAAAATAACTATATTTGCTAAATATTTTTAATAATAATATTTTTAATATCATTAATATGCTTTTTATATTTTAATTTAATAATTATAGAAAGATAAATACTGCAATTATAAAGTAAAGGTATTTATATTAATAATTTTATTTATAACTAATATTTGAAAAGTTAAATAGATATTTAAACTATTCTTATAATTGATCTTAATATTTTAAATAATAATTTTGCTATATTTAATCATAATTAATTATCTGATTAAATCAACATTAATATAAATTATTAAATTTTTTGTTAATTAATTTCATGATTTAAACTATTTATATTATTTATAATAAAATTTTATTAATTTTTATGCTTTTTTAATCGATTTATCAAGCTACTATAATGCTTTTATCATCAAATAAATGATATTTACTTAATATTCATAACAATTATCAAATTTCTTAAAAATATAATAAATAATATAAAGAAGAAACTACTCAAAAGATTATTGCAACTGCAATAGTAATTAAACTTGATAAAGTGAAATTTTCTGCATTTGATCTAAATATTAAGCTAACGTTATATGATACTACAATATATAATTTAACACAAAAATCAAAACCTTTATTCAAAATATTGAATTACTACAAATACAGTAGTCCCCCTATATAGTCACCTCCTGTATAATCACATCATATAAATCCCTCATTATAAGCACACATTTCGTAAGAACCAATATCTATTAATGCTATATAAAAAAACCCCTTTATAATCACAGTATTTTTATAGTCACACCCTTTCAGAACCAACACTTAGTAATACTATATAAAATCCCCCCTATATAGTCACTTTTATTATAATCACACTTTTATTTTTGGTCCTGAGGGGTGTGACTATAAAGGGAGACGACTGGACATCATTATCATCACTTAATTATTTTAAAAAGATCCTTAAAAGTTCACATTATACTTCATATTTTACGGATAATAATTTATAAATTATTTCTTATCTGAAATTGATTATATTGTGAAAATCTCACGCAAATATTTCCAAAATATAAAAATGGCAAAAATGATTCATATATGTATTCTCATTTGTGAAAAATACTATAAATCCCTTGAGTAATCGTTATAATCCAAAAAGCAAGTTCACATTTAAAAAAAGATGACAGGCAACTCTGTCTTAAAAGTTGGAATGAAATGTTTAAATTAAGTGCATCAAATTTTTGACTGATTTGTACGACTTGTAATTTCGTCAGAAGACCTAAATTAAAAAAAAATAAAACTAATGCAAACATTATAGGAAATAAAAAAAAAATTCCGAGTAAAATCCCGACGGGTTAAATAAAGGCAACATTTTAATTTACGGAATATTAATTTCTGATAGATAATTAGGAATTAGTGTTGGTAAACGAGGACGTGATCGAAGAATAGGGACATTAGAGAAGGCAATTGTTATATTTGTAGTAGAGAGGTTGACTTTAGGTAAGTTTAAAGGTGGGTTGAATTTTTTGACAGGTTTAAGATGATAGACATTAGGTAAATCATGTTTAAGAGGAGTAAACATATAATTTAGTTTTTTTTTTTAAAAAAAAAGACAAATTTTACGTACGGCGAGGATTAAGTTTATAATTCCACCTATAATTTTTGATTAAAAGAAAGGCATAGAAAGTCATGAATAAGATGTTTTGAAAAAAATTTTCCAGTTATAAATTGTTGTAACTTACCTATTACATAATTGTTTAGAAGAGAAGTTTGGAATACGGTGACTTAATTCCACATACGGTTTTCTAATATTTTTTCCTTCACCTTGCATAAATTCCTTAATTTGATCATCGGTCTATAAATGAGATAAATAAACGATAATATATATCTTTAATTTTTCTTATAATAAGTTAAACATACTTCTAAATCGAAGATAGACATGTTTGCGTTATATTGAAAAATATATATATAATGTGTTTCTTAAATGGATTTATTTTGATTTTAGTTTAATTTTTTTTTTTTTGTAAAAAATGTTGGTAGAAGTCGTTCATTTATATCAAAAAAATTATACATTAAAAGTTGAATTACCAAAATTAATCGGAATTTAATAATTTTTCTTCAATCTAATTAAAATTTCTAAAACTGTTTATTTTTTTGATCCCTGATTCTAAGAATCAAAATCTTTTTAGCTTGCATAAAAAAAAAAATTTTATTTCCTTTATAGTCGTACACAATTTTTCAAATTTTTATTGCCGATCATACCTCTATTTATACTAATCTTTGAAAATACTATACTGTATATCGTTCTAAAAAAAACAATGACTTGAGAAAGACAATTCGAATACTATAAAGATATACATATTATAGAAATTATTTAAGAAATCTAATATCGCCATTTTACCTTTTTTTATTACGTTGCTTTAATCTTAATTTCTTTTTTTGAATGCCTCAAACTTTTAGGGGTAAATTAAGTTTAAATTTCAGTGGGCTTTTCTGTTTCATGTTATCGAAACTTCCGCAATTCTTAGAATATCAATATGGCCCTTTGAACTGTTTCCTTTTCGAAACGTCTCATTAAAATAAACAAAATCCTGCACGTTACGTCGTACGTTTGTCAGGCGCTTTTTAAAGGATTTCCTCAAAAGAACCCAATGGAAGGAAATATAAAAACGCCAATGATATTGACACAAAGAATGCAATAATAAACGAAAAATAGTAAGTTAACTTTGCCTCATCGATTGAACGTAGTTTTACATGAAATTCATTTTTTTATGTTTTGACATAAGCGATGTTTTCATGTGTCATATTAAAACACCATTCGTAAATAAATGACTCATCTTCAATCATTTTCCATCATTTTACAATGAGAAACATTTTATAATAATAATTTTTTTTCCTACTCCTTTTTTGCTTGTTCAACAAGGCATAACAAGACGTGGATTTATAAAAATTTGTGTAACCATAGAAATCATCAAATCAACTTTGAAAGTGACACAAATAATCCAGCTAATATCACCCGTGTGATATTTAGCTAGCGATAATTTCCGAAAGGTGTAGACCTTTTTGTTATGGCTAGAAGGATCCTTCTTCAAGTCGATTTTAAAAGTGCGAGAACGTCTTTCATATATTTCTTAATATTTTCCTTGTCACCTTATTAAAGTCCTTACATAATCATGTAATACAATAAAGAAATGATTTTCAAAAAAATTTACTTAGGAATAAAGTTTTTGGGATCCGACTAACTTATTAAAGAGTAAAATAAATTTTTGAATTTTTTTTTGCCCTATAACCTTTGTTTCTCAGTTTCACAAGGGTTGCTTTACGATTTCACCCTAAAAATAATTCAATAGATTATTATCGCCTCTGAATTTTTTATTAGTTGCAGCTTTTTAAATTGCGGCTTAAAGTTTAATTTCGAATGAATACAGTTATATTAATTAATTTTATATTATGTACATAATAAATTAATCCAAATTTTATATTTACATTTAACCGGATATGGCTCGTTCATTTACAGAACATTACAAAAGAAATTGAGAATAATAAAATCCACCTCCTTTTCGCTTATATAAGTGATACAGAAAAAATTGAATTTCACAAAACCAATTAAGTTCATGGCTGACAAGAATATGTTTATAGAAGCCTTTTCCTTTGATAGCAATTGATTTTGGATGAATTTTTGTTTCACAGTAAAAGGAACTTGTGCTACATATTTTGAATTTTAAATAAAATGTTTATAATATATTTATTTATTCATTCGGTAGTATCAATAAGATATAAATCAAAATATGCTAAATTAAAATAAAAATTTGCCATCAACGAAAGATTCATTATACACAAAAGTAATTGTATTGTAATGATTCATTTTCATTTTCATTGTAATTTACTGCAGTTCCTGTTAGATGGCTTTGAACTTTAAAGTATATCACGTCATCTTTTAGTAACAAATCATAAATTTTCCGACAGAAACGTGATCGATATTGAAAGTTTAGGGGCGGTTACCTGACCTGTTCACCGGATTTGATATTCCGCAAATAGATTTTATCGGAGTTACGGACTGGCGAAGATCTTTCCTTATAAATGAAAAATATAAACAAATAAGTTTGAATATTATCAACAAACAATATAAATGAATAGAAAAAAAATTACATTATAAACAAATACAACATGTATTACAACCAAGTCTTACGGCACACAACAAA